ATGACTTAATTTCCGGACGCACGCACACAAACACATAGGATTTCTTCATCTGTGATGAAACAGATGGATTGCAGGAAGGAAGCAAATAAAGGAAAACTGTCAGTAGGATTGCCTTTGTTATCTTTAATCGCTAGTAAAGCGTTGAATTTCAACCATCAAAATCACCAAGATTGTGCGTCAATCTTAGTTTAAATAAATATATCCTTCTGGTGGAGCCCACTACAGTTTATATGTTGTGAACTTAATTCCAAGAGTGATCTGTGCTATTAACAGTGGTTAATGAAAAGTGCTTTTACAACTAATTGTCTTAAAATATTTATTTATATCAATTGGCAGGCGTTTTGATAACTATCATTAGCCATTTAGCTGACTTCGGGCTTCACAGAGGGAAGGTGCATCAAAGAAGAAGAAAGTCGAGGAGTGGGGAACAGAAGAGCGATTCACAGATGTAAAAGAGGCAGACAGACACAAAGGCAGAGAAAAGGGTAAGATGAGTACTGTGAAAGTGGTGGAATATGACATACGGTGGGGTGATGGTAGTTTGAAGTGAGAAGTCAACTGCCGAATGCTAGACTTTTTGCCGTATGAGTATACATTGCCCAGGGTGCACCACGTGGAGGTAAGTCTATCGCACACCCCTTCTTTAAATATTAAATTTATCTAAAGTTGTNAATTGAGTATCTTTATTATGCTAAAAAAATTATATTATAATCAGAACGACAACATTCTATTGAGCATTTTAATATTTGAAACGGAGATTATTATTAAGTACTTTATTGTTCTGCACTTGCAGGGGAGAAAGAATAGGAATGATGATGATTGGCAAATGTAGTTAGTGCTACTACTCTGAGAATTAAAGAACTGCAATTGCTAATTTAGAGAGGAGTGAGAATAGGGAAACACCTTCAATCTTCCTCTTAATCCATCTGTCAGTCAACTTTTTGATAACTTGAATAATCTTTTGTTCAATCGATCAACAAATGTTAGTTACTACGCGAACTGAACTGAAGATGACGCAATTACAAGTGCAATATATTCGTGAATCTTAGGGGTTTTTGATTTGAAAAATTTTGAAACTAATGTAAAGTAAATGAGACTTTTAATTTGTTCCAGACAAAGTATATATATACATGTATATTAATGCAGTATAGTATCAATTGTCGGTCAATTTAACATTTTGTTTGAGTCATAAAATAATTCTCTTTTTTCCCAGAATAAATATTTATTTATTTATTTCAAATGGCAGGCGTTTTGATAGATATCATTAGCCATTTAGCTGACTTCGGGCTTCACAGAGGGAAGGGTCATCAAAGTAGCAGAAATTCGAGATGTGGGGAATAAAAGAGCGATTCACACAGATAAAAGAGGCAGACAGACACAAAGGTAGAGAAAAAGGTAAAGTGAGTACTGCGGATGGGGTCGAATATGACAACCAGGGGGGTCGTGGTAGTTTAAAATCAGAAGTCAACTGCCTGTTAATAGACTTTTTGCCGTATGACTANTGGTGGAGCTCTATTTCATCTATTCGTTGGTTTACGTTGCACAGATCAACTGCCGAGAGATCTAAAGCTAATTGGTCAGTTGGACGAATTTGATTGGCTGCCAAGTTATCGGGAGAACTTCATCTCTTTCATTTTCCCAATAAAAGTTAAGTTATTTTAGTGCGATTTTCTTTTTCTCACTCTGGCCGCATGATGGCCTTGGTGNGATAATAAATGATACACAGTCTAAGAAGTGAATTAATCATATTCGGATTTTAGGTGGGGGGTGGGGCATGCTGTGAGGACCTTATCGCACGACTACTACTGCTACTACTACAACAACAGCATCAGTTGTGCGTGATAGACTCGTTAAGGTATCGCGCCTGCAGAAGGGACAGATGTGTACCATCCATCTAATCATTTATTTATTTCAAATGGCAGGCGTTTTGACGGTTATCATTAGCCATTTAGCTGACTTCAGGTTTCACAGAGGGGAAGAGGAACATCAAAGCGAAAGAAAGTCGAGAGGGGAGTGAGAGGGGATAGAAGTGTTTCAAAGACGAAGATAGAAAAAAGGTGAGGTGAGTACGGTTGAAGTAGTCGAATTTGACATACAGTGGGATGATGGTAGTTTGGAGTCTGAAGTCAACTGCCGGTTAATAGACTTTTTGCCGCATGAGTATACGTTGCCCAGGGTGCACCACATGGAGGTAAGTCTATCGCACACCCCCCATCCATCTAATCATAAACGACTCCGTGTCCTGTCTAGACGGCAAAGAGGGCGAGACAGAGACACTGTGCGGGGGCAGGCGGATAGCGAGACGGACTTAAAGATAGTCAAACGCCCATTAATCACATAAATACCATAGGAGATAAACGACTCCAGAACACGTAAAAATCCTCTAAATATACGAGCCCATTAATATTAGACTTTCTGATCTAAATAGGGCTTTAGTATCTATAGCAAAAGAGGACGTAACGACCTATAGGAGGTAGGATTGTCTCAAAATGAGTAAAGAAACGCTAAATTGACGCCTCCGCTTGACATTGTGGCCCCTGAAAGCCTATTGAACACCCAAGAATACTTGTCTAGTTCACCTCCTATTCCAATTCACTTATCAAATACGTCTCTTTGTTCTTTCTCTCTTTGTAGTCACTGTTCCGGCGTGTTCTACCCCCCTCTTGACCTCTATTTGATTGTCCTGGTTCGAGAATCCTCTGCGATAGAACTCATCACTCCCTACTCATCCGAATTCACGATCAGAGTCCCCTGTTTCCATTCTTCATCTCATCTCTCTTCATGTCGTCATCATCATCATCATTATACTTTATCTCTTTCACTCTCATCTCGCCCATTTTTGCCATTTCCCATTCTCTCTTTTCGGGAAACAGGTGAAAAATAACCGACTGTGTCCGATTTTACTAAATCAAAGTATATCTACCTACACCTACACCTATACATATTACCATTATAGCCAGCGTACTTTTTGCCATATACGAGTATACGTTTATGTATATTTGATGAACAGTAACTTGTAACTTCACACACTCACACACACGGAATCTACTACACATCCATTCGTGGAGAAATTGGCGTGTGTGTGTGTGTGTGGGAACTGTGAAAAATTGCCAATAAAATTGAGGTTTTAAGCATCTGACGACTTGTTTTGAGTGTTTTGTTCCAGTACTCTGGGTGGCTCCATTGAGGTGTTTTGGGTAGAGTAGAAATAGAGAGAGATCAACGAAGGGGGGGGGGGNACGACAAGAATTGCATAGTCATTCTTTGCTTCAAAATCCTCAAAGTCAGGTGTTCATTTATAGTCGAGGAGAACACGATTTCAAAAGGGAAATAAGGAAAAGATTTCAAGCAAACTAGTAAGGAATATACTCTTGCGGAACAAAGACAAGGTATAAGCTCTAAGATTTCCTTCAAGTGCAATTTATTTCAAAATTAATTGAGTAAAAATCAGAGCAGCGTTATTTGTTAATGTTGAGAATAGTTAAAGTAAAGCTAGAATGACTCCCCTAAACGGATCTACGGATAAAAATGTATCATTTGAGAAGGTATTTATTTATATCAAATGGCAGGAGTTTTGATGGTTATCATTAGCCCTTTAGTTGACTTCGGGCTTCACAGAGGGGAAGGAACATCAAAGTGAAAGAAAGTCGAGAGGGGGTGGGGAGGGAACAGAAGAGTGTATCGAAGACGAAGGTAGAAAGGTAGAAAAGAGGTGAGGTGAGTATTGTGGAAGTGGTGGAATATAACATACAGTGGGATCATGGCAGTTTGAAGTCAGAAGTCAACTGCCGGTTTATAGACTTTTTCGCCGTATGAGTATACGTTGCCCAGGATGCACCACGTGGAGGTAAGTCTGTCGCACACCCCTAATTTGAGAAGGTTAAAGGAGTAGTTGATTATTCACTTAGACTAATATATGTAATTTTTTATCTTTTTTGAGTGAGATTAGATTTGGTCTCCTTCTCAAGATGCTTTGGCCTAATTTTCCATGGAATCTTTTTTGTTTAAATAATCTCTAGAAGTTGGGAAATGTTGAGAATGATATCTGCCTCTGTTAAGTAGAAAAGTAATTAGTCCATCTTAACCACTATTCTAAATGAAAATGACACTTTCCCTATTCGAGGTGAAGAAGCCTATTTTGCCTATTTTGTTATTTCAAAGAAATTCCATAGATCTCTCACAAACTTTAAAGTTACGTTTCCTATTGACCAAAATGTGTGTAAACACCCCTTGAACAAGTAATGCCTTGTTTGCACATGGTAGTGTTTAAACAGAGGAACTAAAATAAGGCCTCACGTGTCAAAGGGTAAAATAAATACTTAAAATAATTCAAAGTCAATCCCAATTACTCTCCTCTACTCCGCCCGTTTGCAAACTGCCCAGAAAAATCCCCATATTGGGCCTAGCAATTATAAGTCAAAGTTTTGCTAGTAATGGCCAGATTGAAAGGCTGTCTGAGGTCACAGATAATCAATTTCTTTTAAAAAACGCTCAGCTAACTTAAATGTGCCCAAAATTAGCTTTGAGCATTTTGGCCAGGCGAGAAAAGGACTGAGAGGCAGCAACTGAAGCACACATTCGATAGTACTGTGAGTCACCCTAATCATCGGCATCATCAGTTTAGGCCTCGACAAAATGAGTCGAGGAGGGTAGAGAGGGGACACAAATCAGAAACGAAGTAGTACTAACAGAAGTGGCAGCAAGGGGACAGTTGCAAACTCTCTCCTATCACCGCGAATGTGTGTGCATTGGCCGCGTGTGATTGGTCAGGCCTCAGCCGCACGGCCGCACCTCACCAACGGTGCGATAGGGGGGGGGAGGGAGGGGAGAACGCGAGTTCACGCACGGGGAAAGATAGAGGGAACGGGAGCGGCTAGAAGAGAAGGGAAAGTAACACTCATACTCGCACACCAGAAAGAGCCTGCTAGGTCGCACTCATTTGCTCACTCCTTTGGCCGCTAGCGTTGTGTGGCCTTCTCTCTCCACATTCTGATCTCAAAATGCCTCAATGCTGTTTCGCTGGCTGTCACAACAGAACTGACGATGGTCGGGGCCTATCCTTCTTTCGATTTCCTCGAAGGGATCTAGCACGTACAGCTGCTTGGGTAGTAGCCTGTGGTCGGAAAGACTTTTCTCCGTCTCAGCACTCAAGGGTTTGTTCTCGACACTTTTCCGCCGTGGATTTTGATCGAGATGCCAGGCATGATTCCAATGGCGGTGTGCATCGTAGGTTGAGGCTTAAAGACACTGCTGTACCCACTACGAATCCTGTGGATAATCCCTGGCAGAATACGGACAATATGGTCGGGAGAAAGTCCAAATCGAGAGATAATTCCAATGTGATCGCCAAATTATTTCCGTCTGCTCCACCAGGTGAGTTGCATTTTACCTAAATCATGATAAAATTTGATGCCAGTGTTTGCTTGCATGCGAGTGAGTGACTGGCTGTGTGAGACAAGTATCTCTGTAATTACTCACGAATCGGGATTAATCACTTGCTCTGACTCGTTCCCTGTTTTACTTTGCTTAAACAAATTTTAGGGCCAAGATGAGACGCTCATAGTCCTCCCTTCCCCCCCCCCTCCCCCCTCCCCATGAGAGCATGATCATCATGCAGTTTATCTTGTATATACACCCTGTTTATAAGAGATCCATTGAATAGGTCAATAAGCCTTCTCAATCGCTCCCTCCCCCCCCCCCATACACTTGGTGACATTTTCTTCCAGGGTGTATATTTTGTAATATCCGAATACAAGAACATTTTAACAAATGGACAATTTAATAGGTTAACCAAAGAGAATGTGAGCATTCCATTATTTTAAGTTTCTAACCACACTAATTAGATCAGTCCACAACTCTAGTTGAGACAGCTGGTATTTTGGGAAATATCAATTTTTATTATTTGCACTACTTAGTTCCTTATCCTTACTACTAAATTGCATTTATATGTTTAATAAATGGAAATAAAACAAACCCTGCTGTTCATTTAGATTTAAAAGTTTGATATATGAACATTGGTTTGCGTATCATTAAGATATACAAACGAGGCATTTATTAGTTTCATTTAATTCAATTCATCTATCCAAAATGTGCTTTTTATTTCGTTTCAGGTTAAGTTTTCTTGTTTTTAACTGTAGATATATGTATCTTATATTTTGCATCAGTATTGAGACCAATTGACTCATAAAGTTCAAATTTTCACCAAGGATATGAGTTTTTGAGCACAAATTTTCAGGAATAGAGGAGAATGAACCAGGAGGTTTCCATTGGAAGGGCGCAGACCTTTCAAGAGCTCGAGTTTAGAGTGATACCTCTTTTTTCTTGTCTCTTCCTGGGTTTAGTTACTTGAGGCCATTAGTTTCGCTTGAAATCTATTTTTCAGTTCATTCATTTCAAAACCGGACGAATATTATTTGAGAGCTCAAGCCGCCATACACCCGCCACCTCAAAGACTCAACGTCAATGTTATAGTCGTCTATTAAATATTCTATTTAGAAGCTCTTGGACAACTCTAGTCCTACCATTAAAAGGTCTGCAGAAACCTTTCCTTGATGTTAGTATTTCAATTTAATGAAATTAGCTACATGTGTGAAATGATTAGTTCTCTGATTACGTCTCAAATGATGGAGATTTATCAGGTGACTTCCTCAAATAGACTCGGACGATGGAAAACATTTCCCATTTAGAATCTCATCTCTTCAGGTAGAATGATTTGAGATTTTAGTCGCTGTAGACGGCATCCCTGCACTACCTCAATTAATTTGATACGGTGATAATTACTAAGAGCATAGTTGCAAAAAAATACCCATCAATGCTAATTTATAATCTCGTCTTAAGCCTTCTAATAGTTATTTTTGCTGATTCTTCTAAGCATTGGCTTGATAAGATCTTGACGTGAAAAAATGCCTACGATACACAACGGATATATGATTTAGATCAGGAAATAACAGAGTTTTCATTGGCGTATTAAGCAAGGAAGGTTGATATTTAACTCAAGTTTTCTCTTGCCTTGGAGTTATAATTATTTGCTCGGTTTTAAGTTCAAAAATTTGGGAAATAGGATTAAATACCCCATTCACTCCAACGAAGGCGTGAAATAAAGGATTCTTTATTTTCGCAAATAAGTTTCGCATTATATGAGATAACAGTTATCTTAAAACTGAAACTATTGTGATTTAAAGAATTCGAACCCACCCCACCCCCCTCCCCCCCCCCAACTCATCCCACGTCTTAATTTTCATTGTCAAGAATTAACTTGCCTGTAACCTAACTGGTTGAGTGGTTATCGGGTCTTTCATTTCCCATTTAACTTCCTCCATGTCAAAAGTCCAACCCCCCACTCCCCAGTGGAACATTACTTTATTATCGGCACAGGGGAAATTGAAATGACTAATTTCTAATTAATCCCTTTTTTCATGAGATTCACAGTTATTCGTTCTTCTTCTTCTTCTTCGTCTTCTCTTCTTTAGTTAATTTTCACGATATTTGAAAGCGGTCAAAAATGGTCATATAATGATTTCCTTCGCCATTTTCTGGTCAAAATAATTTTTTGTTAACACTGACAAAGGAAAGAGATAAGCAAGTAGGGGGGAGGGGAGCTATTTTTGGGATTGTAAGACAAAATTTTGACAAGAAGGTATGAGAAATATCAGTTTAACTTAGGCAACTTGACTCAAATAAAACACTTGAAACTGCAGATCTTCTTTTTCTCCTCCTCCTACTCTAGTTTCATGACTTTTGCGTGGTTTTGGAGCTTCCACAGTCTTTAATGAAACGTTTATAATGCATTCTCCACNCCCCCGTTTAATATATCCACATCGTTTGACCATTCGAACCCTTGTAAATACTGCCAAGTTATGCATTAGAGTTTGACGTCGTCGACAATTTGCAGTTCAGTGTCAAAAACTGGTGCCCTGCAGTCGAATCTTTCTAAACGGCGTAACGTCTTTTCTGGTAACATGGTTAGGGAAAAGTGCAAGGAACGGATTTATAATGAAAGAATTATTGACCTTCGAATAGAATCTGAAGGCTCCATGTTCCACCAAATATCTCTTGTTAAAAACGACCTCACCGCTTTTCCTTTCTAAACTGCGATTTTTGTTGAACAGAGCAAATCTTGAAATAACATGGAAGAAGTTTTGTGCATCTGGCCCACGTATTAATGGATTAAGTCAAGCCAATTATATGGAAATTGAACAAAGTTTAACCAAGATTTAGTGTTTGAGAAGGGAATTCTTCGCCTACAGGCACCATTCTGATACTGTATGGTTAGGGTAGAGGAGCTTCCGTGTGAATATTTATTCATTTATTTCAAATGGTAGGCATTTTGATAGATATCCTTAGCCCCTTATCTGACTTCGGGCCTCACAGAAGGTAGGAATATCAAAGTGGGAAAAATGCGAGAGGGGGAACAGAAGAGTGATTCAAATGTGTATAAGACAGAGACGGACACGAAGGCAGAGAAAAGGAGAGATGAGTACAGTGAAAGTGGTGGAATATGGCATACAGTGGGGTCATGGTAGTTTGAAGTCAGGAGTCAACTGCCGGTTTATTAACTTTTTGCCCTATGCGTATACGTTTCCCAGGGTGCAACACGTGGAGGTAAGTCTATCGCACACCCCCCTCAATGTGAATATAGAATGATCAATTAGTGTCAGGTTTTTATTTGAATTACCGCACACGCATACGACAATGTTATTATCCTTGGGAATTTCATAGTGTCTGGATGGAGCTAAATTGCCGGTTGCGATGATTGGATGATGATTCCGAATTGGCTACCTCCTCATAGAACCTTTTTCTACAATTGCAATTTATTAATTAGCAACTAATTAACCACATTATAGACAGAATACTCGTGTGAATTTTAATGATAGTATAATAGGTTAATGAAAAGTCAATGATTTGATCGATTTCTTGTCCACATTTTGAAAATGCGCCCTTCTATTATTAGGTGAGTAGCCATAAATTAATAGAGACACCCGAGCCTGTTCGTCGGAGAATAAGAAGACTCGACTTTACCGTTCCTAAAACAATCCATGAACACAAATTATTCGTCGTTAGGTTAAGCGTCTTTGGGAGGTGGCAAATCAAATCGCCTACTCCGGTGACTTTAGGGACGTCATCAGACGTCTGGCCATGGCGGCTATTTGTCAATAAAATTGAAACAGTCACTCACATGGTCTTCATTTAATTAGCGTCAGGTGATTAAGGCAGCCTTTTTTCGAACTACCAACTTTCTCAGTCTACTTTGTATTAAAAACCGTTAAGAGAGAGGCAAGGGAAGGTACTAGAAATATGGGTGGGTGGTGGGTGGTGGGGGGAGGGAGGAAGTGAATAGGTAGGAAGGCATTCAAGAAAGTCTTGAGCGCAAATTCCGTAATTATGCCTTTAATGTCAAGAATATAGAGTCAATTTTTAAATTCCAGTGACAAATACTAGAGTTTCTAGTCTCTTTCAGCTGAAACGTTCTTGCAATTCGCGAGGGGATTGTCTACGTCATTCCAAATTCTTCCATTACTTTAATCCATATCTAATTGCTCAGTGAAATCGTATTCTTTAATACCATCTGATTAAATTAACTTAATGACCCGATAATGAAATGAATCGATATTTTACATTCTCTTTATCGTGTTCATATATCTTTATTTAACCAAAAAAACAAGCTTTGACACTTCTCATTGCCGAATAAAGTAAAATGGAAGGCTGTCACATAAGAGATATCCACAGACTTGAATTGTTGTATATTTTGAAGCCAAGTAAGAGTGGAATACTTCATTTTCCTGACTATGTACCTTGAGCCTTACCTTAAGTGACTTGTCAATTAGAAAGTAACATAACCAGATGTTTCGAGAATAGGAATAAGAACCTAGTTCATTGAAATTTGTGGAAATTCATCGGTGTACATACATTGACTAAATTAACTGATTCCATTGGATGCGTTTGACAAGAATTGGGGTGTCAAAATGTGACCTTTCCAACTGAACGTCTCTTAAATGAGTAGCAAACTTCCATGACTGACAGGTCACGGGAATAGGAAATTCGTTTCTCTCATTGCTTAAATTCTGGCTTACTGGAGAATGCGTCTTTCTTACAAGATCGAAGCTTTCTCCTCTTTACTGAGGTTGTGGATTAAAGCCTTATTGTTAAATTTAAATTTATATCCACTTAACAGCCAATAAAATAGAAGAGTATTTATTCGTTCTTTACTTGGTTGAAAGAGACGAGGAGCCTTTGTATACAAACCCGATTTAACGATTGTGTGGACATTAGTATTAATACAGACATTGTCTGAGGTGCCATCAGACATCTGTCTAACTCTGTGTGGCGCATATTCGTTTATAAAAGTAGTGTCCATAATTCAGCTAACGGCAGACTAAACGGACGTTAGGAATTT